ACCCTCTGAGTTGGATCTGCATACTCTGCATGCCTTCTCCATCCAGTATTTGTGGATAGCTGTAAACACCTACACTACTACATATTTGCACGCATGCACAAGACTAACCTACGCCCATCATCCGTCCTCCTACCCACCGCTGCTGCCGCGCATATTTGATAGAAAATATGGAAATTCCGTTCGCCTTGTATTTGATTCGTCACCCTTATCTTTTCCAATAGGTAACTAACATACCACAAATCCTCCAACTCTCACAGCTCACCTCTCCCTACGTTTCTATTCTGGCGCCCTTCAGCCGTAAGTGATCCTTCTCGCCGTCAAACTGCAGCTGTATAAACTTACCAAACCGTGATGAGTTGTCGTTCCGAAGTGTACCTATTTTTCATCGTTATCTTACATACCACTCCTTTCCCATCACATGCGTTCCCAAAGGCCTCTAACAATGGGTTTGACTCCAACACTTGTCTGTTAATATCACTTTTAGAAGCCCTACCACAGGCCGATAGGAACTGCATTACCTACACTTCAACGATCTCTACCAAGACGATCCAAGCGGGGCCAACTCACAAGCTTAGTGGTTTCAGTCTTGCCAGCTCCTGATTCACCACTGATGAGTATAGACTGGGAAACTCCTTGTCGAACCGACGACTCTCCACACATGCCCTGTAGTGCGTGTCATAGTAGAAGCACAGGAGGAGAGTATTCGACCAACCTTATAAGCTCGAAGGGCCGTAGAGAAGACATGTGGAGTATGAATGAGGTTCTCAGAATCCAACAGAAACCTACTTCCGTAACCAGACTACAGCAACAGCTTTATCCTCACCTATCAACGACGGTCTTCTCGTAGAGCCCTTGAATGCCCTTGAATGGATTGACAGCTAGAAGTATAGGGCCACACATAGTGTACAGCTGATCCCTATTGAATCGGTTCTGACAATAACATGGAATGGAAACCTAACAGCATAGCCCGTCCTACCTGGAGAACCTGTAGTAGAGCAGGTTCATGTAAATGCTTGAGTGAAGTGAGGTCATCGACATCCTCCTTCCCAAATGCCCTCGATACGGGATACCTGCACCGTGTGGTAGTCGATACAGAGTAGTGCTCCTACACTTGGCAATCCCTTGGTACCACAACTTCCTGAACATCCTGAATATTCAATCATAACGCCACATACAACCAAGCATTGTCTAACACACCTCAACAAGCATCACTATGAGAGCATTGTTCTCATCTACTCCCACGACCTGACCGAACACCCCACTGGTCAGCAACAAGGCGGCCTACCATAGTGTGCTACCTTTCCAACCTGCCATGCTTCATCACTATCCACAGGCACCCATACCCTATTCCCTATCTCTGCTGAGCTTGTTGTTACTGCTGTTGGTGGTAATGGGGACCAATCACTCCCCGCATAGGACGCCTTCTTAGGAGTACGATACCTCCTCACCGACGATCGATGCTTCACAGTGCTTTTACGGCGACGACTATGTGGCAGCATTTAAATTTACTTTCACCCACAGAAGCATACCATACATTGATCGCACTAATACACAAGATGTATAGAGACCCTAAGAGTCCTCTTATTTCGGAAACCTTGCGCCGCAGTGTTCGATATCAGCGCATGATTAAATCTCGCTCGCCCTAAAATAACTAAATGAAGTGGTGACACTGTATCTGCAGTAACAGTCTGATCTAAATATCTGTAGATCCTTAATAGTAGACATAAACAAAGATTCTAAGCAACTAATAACGAACCGCTGATAGCTGAGCTGTCACTCGCTTGCTCTAGCCAAAAATCAGGCAACACTTTAAGATTCCAAAACTGTCAAACTTTCCAGTTGAACGCCCGAAGTGCTGATATCCTGCTAAAACGACTCGAACATTCTAGTAATGCTGTTGCCGTTATATAGCTGTTATATCACGTCCATCAAGATAATGCTAGTAACAGCGTTGTGTGTTATCATGATCATGAGGCCTGTCATCCTATAGCACGGTGCTATTAGCACCCACCAGCCCATAGTCACTCTGTACTTTCCCCACTTCTCATGGTAGGAGACCACTCAATCTTCATTTTTCCATATAGCGATCTTCGCTATATCGTGCGACGTACGTGACATGTGACACGTATCACTGTCACCGTAATTTCGCTCGTCCTCGATGATCTCAGGACGAGACGGATGAACATATGTACTAGCCGTCTCGCACCTCTTTTGTTGATGATTCAGTCATGACGATGTTTTTAGTCCTTGTCCTACGCTTTCTAATGAGCAATACTGGGCCTTTATCGTCTACTATCTATCGTCGCACATTAGAAACGAACCCGGGCTTGAGTTCACAGTCAAGGGCGACAGGCCCCATAACAAACTCAAGGCACGCTTCAACACTTCTTTCACTAATATTCATCTTATACGGTATTATCACTGAAAACAAGAAGTCTAGCAGTAGTTATAAATCACAACCATGATCTTTCTCTTCGTGCATCCACAATAACACCTCCTCTCGTGTTGGATCTGTCGTAACTCACTTCATGAAAAGAGTTTTCCTGGGGAGCACAGACTAATCCCTCTAGGTTTCGTAATTTCTAAGTACAGTTATCGTACGTCATAAAGTAGGATATTCGAGTCGCCCAAACCCACAGGGGCCAATCTTGATGCCCAAATAATTGACACTCACAACACCGTGAATAGAGGAAACGGTATAAGTAACAGGTGTGGTCCGAATAGTAGACAAGCCGAAACGGGGAACTTGATGCTGCTACTACTGATGATGATATTCCGTTCAATGATAAATTAAGAACTTGTCGGTTCCGGTTGGAATGAGTACATCGACGACGCTGCGCTCTAAAGGTAACAACGATGATCATTCCAAAGGCAAAACGCTCTAGTACTGATTCTGCTCCTCCTGAGGGCTCAGAAGAGAAACTACTGCTGGAAGATGGTTCAGCGTCAGTTTTATCATCATGCGTTCGACCCCACAACCCTCCCAAACCGGAGAGCATCGACCCCTCCTTAGCCGCCTCCTCAGCCGTTTTCTTTGCCTAAAACTCCCTATCCAACCAACACCACTAACGACCAACAATACCGCGGCATGTTTATCTTGGTATTCCTGTACTAACTTTTCCTGCTGCATTTGCATCAATGCTTGTTCCCTATAGAAATATATACATCCCCTTCTCTTAGGTTTACTCCACTACCTTGGTGTTTGTGATGAGCTTTTCATCAACAGTGCTGATACTCCCTCGATGATCGCCAATAGTATTCCTCCTACTACAGCGTTCTTGCTTGCTGTCTTCCAACCGCCTCTTGCTGCCAATACACCTACAACCCGATTCTTAGGCGATCACACTCAGTGATAAAATAAAAAACTAATTACATATTCCGAACATACAAGAAATCCTCCATCATATAGTTATTTCTGTTTCCTCTTTCCGTGATCGCAAGAAAGCGACCATCGGTGAGCCATAGCATTCACTTTCGGAACAGGATGAGCCAGAGTAAGGTTATTTATAGCCAACATCAGAATAAAAGTCTATGAGAAATGTGTTCGGTTTCCTCAGCTGAGTTTGGCAGCTCCTTCATTAACTATAGTAGTTTATATACGAATTCGGGTTCCACGAGAAATTCCCTCAATGTCCTCCAAATCCCCCGACTGCTCCTGGCTAATACGATATAACAATACAAGATGGTCTTCCTATAGACTTTGATGATGTTTTTACTAAATATACGCTTCCAAAGATACCACAGTGTTGATACTCAGAGTAACGCACTATCGTCACCTACAATTCCCCTCCCCCTCGACAGTACCCACCTCCTGTTAAGAATCCAGAGGCAATCGCATTCCAATGGTCATCTCTCTGACGTATATACCTTCAAAATTCGCACGTCATTGGAGACCAAATAAGTATGTACTACTGTAGACTGCAATCGAATGCCGAGAAGGTACCACCCCAAACCGCGAAGCTGCTGCCCAGAATAGGGGCCCGTGTCTTGGCTGAATACAAGGCACCTGGCCACGGCAGTAAGTGAACTCCCTTCGTCGACCCTGAGGCCCTTCACCATGCAATCGTTCCCCCCGTGGGGAGTTCCGGGCGCCCTTCACAAAATGCCAAAGAAAGCCTCCCACACAGCCCATACCAAAGGCACCACCTGACAGTGCTCCCGATACACGGCAGAGGAACCACAATTTAGTACCTAGATCCTCGACGATCCTATCAGGGCAGGGCTCTCTGGCTGCATCACGATCTGAATCACGGACTTCACGAGTCATATGATGATGAGAAGGAGAGGGAGCAGAAACAACACCAACGTCGATGAAAAACTGCAAGGTATCCTTCAGGCCCCCCAAAAGAAACTCGATAAAGGAACAACCGCGATGGTA